AGGTGGGTAAGAAATAATAATAATAATAATAATAATAATAATAATAATAATAATAATAGCCAGCAGAGTGATCTTGTCTGCTCACCTTGTTGTGTTTCAAATGATAATAATAATATGTCCTGAGCAAATGAAACTTAAACATCTAAAGCAGAATCTTAAATGTGCTTTTTAATTTGTGGAGCTATTTTTGTCCTATTCGTATTTGTTGATGCTCTGTTTGCATAAATGGCTTTAACTTAAGTTTCTTGCTAGGGCATCTCAAAATGGATTGCAATAGGATGTTATAAATATATTCATTTATATACACATAAATAATATAAATGGATTGTGAACCTTTGACCATAAGGACAAATAGCCAATGCTTCATTAGCTGGAGGCGATGTCCTGCTCAGTGGCTCAACACATTTCAAAATTTCTAATTTAACAGAGCTGAATGGAAGAAGGGAGAGTGACAGCTGAAAGAAAATATAACTGACATTTCAGAGGTTCTAACATTAATTTTGTAGATGTACGGCAACTATCTATGTAGCCAGCAAATGTCTTCCTGTTACTATAGCAATGTGACCTAGATCACTGAATACCATCTTTCTAAAACAATTAAACACTTTCTTGGATCAGGAGTTATTAAATGGGCACCTGTTTCAAATCAATTTCTACAACTTCAGAATTATCTGCAATGGATTCATCTTCCATTCTGTTTGCTCTTCTGGCTCATAATATGAGTGGGATGAAGCAAAATGGAGTGAACAATGAAGGAGTTCTGTAAATGGGAAACTTTGCTTTCATCCAAATCTTCTGACTCATATTTGAAATGCCAGTGCAATGGGAGGAGTCCCTGGGTATTTTGAAAACTGCATAATGACACCAAAAACAAGAACACCGAGCAGATTTTTTTCTGTTTTCTATGACAAAAAAAAATTGCATTATTTAGAACAGGGGTCCACAAACCTTTTAAACAGAGGGCCAGGTCACAGTCCCTCAAACTGTTGGAGGACCGGATTATAATTTGAAAAAACCACGAATTAATTGCCATGCACACTGCATATATCTGATTTGTAGTGCAAAAACCACTTTAAAACAATAATTACAATGAAGAACAATTTTAACAAATATAAACTTATTAGTATTTCAATGGGAAGTGTGGGCCTGCTTTTGGCTGATGGGATAGGATTGTTGTTGTGTGCTTTCAAGTTGTTTCAGACTTAGGTTGACCCTGAGTGAGGGCCGGGTAAATGACCTTGGAGGGCCATATCTGGCTCCCAGGCCTTAGTTTGAGGACCCCTGATTTAGAGAATGTACATTGTTATCGAAATATATATATACACACATAAAATATTATGTATAAACATTTTAAAACTATTTATTTATTATTTAAATAAATGAATTCCCTCTGGCTTTCAGTGGTTTTCTATTCCAGAAACTCCCCACATACCTTAATATTTTAATAGGCCAGAAAAATAAGAGACTAGTATTGAGATATAGTGGTTAAAGTTGTGTAAAACTGTATTCACTCTAGTGTAGATGCATTCCTAGTTAGTCAATGGCCCAATAAGCATTTGCAAACTACTCAACGCATCACCTTTTTTTTACTGTACATTCTCCAAAGTAATCTTCTACTGCATCCCTCATTATTTATGATATATCTAGGATTTCTCCAGTAATCCAGCAGCAGTCTGCTAGATTGTAATTATGCTGCATCCTCTCTTTCATTTGCTCCCCAGCAACCTAGGGAACAGTGTGATGTCTTTTTTTAAATCTTCTTAAAGGTTGGATTGTTTCCATTTTATTTTTTTAAAGAAATTCAATACCATCTGCTGAGATAGTGCCATGGCGACTTCAGGTGAATATGAGGTCATAACGATAATAATAGATTTTATTTATTACCCGCCTCTCCTGATGGCTCAAGACATGGTACAACAAAGTCAAAAACATATGAACATAAAATATATACAATAAATTACATAAATAAAAACACATTTTAAAAAAACTTGGACCAAACACAGAAACAGAATTGATACAAGGTAGCAATCTATATATAGATAAAAATGTAATGTTCGTTTGTGGGATTAACATAACTCAAAAACCACTGGGCAAATTGACACCAAATTTGGACACAATACACCTTTCAGGCCAATGAGTGACTATCAATCAAAAAAACACTAAAAAAAACACAGTAGAAGAGACTTTAAAAGCAAAAGCAAAAAAAAAAAAAATCACATCGCATGAACAAGCCACACATATTCACACACATTCGGGGAGTTGTCATTTTACAAGATCTTTAGCCTTCTCTAGTGCCTCACTAAACTACAGATCCCAAGAGCCCATCGCATTGAGCCATGGCAGCTAAAGTGGTGCTAATCTGCATTAATTCTGCAGTGTAGATGTCTTATTGCTCTTATATGTATTATTTCCCAGCCCAACTGATGGGTGAATGATCCCTCTTCTGTCTCTAACACACAAAAGGTTTACAAGTTGAGCCTCCCTTATTTGAAATGTACAGTACCAGAAGTGTTTTTGGATTTGGGCCCAAGTCTAGAAGATTAATTTCATTGGTGTTTCATGAACACCTTATATACATTGACTTTAGACAAGGCTTGGGCAAACTTGGGCCCTCCAGGTGTTTGGGACTTCAATTCCCACAATTCCTAAGGAGCCCCAGTTCAAAGCAGATATTGGGGATTTTCTGCCTTGCTATTCTGGGTTATAGGGCAGTGTGGAAGGACCCATAGTGTCTCCTTTAGTTAGTTAGTAGTTAGGCAATCCCTTATAGCTCAAGGATGATGGTCCTCCAAGTGTCTTGGCGGTGGGTCTGAAGGTGGCTGTGGATCCCTATTCTTGATCCACATGTTCTCCCACAATGAGGACATTGGCTTCCAAGTGGAAGGTGGTCCTGGTCAGGATTGCTTGACGCACCTTCCTTTTGGCACGTTTCTCCCTTTCGCCCTCCATTCGTTTCTCTTCAAATTCTGCAGCACTGTTGGTCACAGCTGACCTCGGGTTAAGAGCACTCAAGGGCCAGTTAATCCCAGATCTCGGTGTCTATGCCACAGTTTTTAAGGTTGGCTTTAAGGCCATCTTTAAATCTCTTTATTTATTTGTTTGTTTATTTATTTATCATGTCATCAACAGCCAGACATTTGTATTACATTTTTAACAAAAACAAACAAACAGACAAAACACAGAATTTGCAAGCTTGGTCGTTGATTAAATGTCCTTTGACCAGTAGCTGGCCACTTGGAATGCCTCTGGTGTTGCCGTAAGGAGGTCCTCCATTGTGCATGTAGCAGGGCTCAGGTTGCTTTGCAGCAGGTGGTCTGTGGTTTGTTCCTCTCCACACTCACATGTCGTGGATTCCACTTTGTAGCCCCATTTCTTAAGGTTGGCTCTGCACCTCATGGTGCCAGAGCGCAGTCTGTTCAGCGCCTTCCAAGTCGCTCAGTTTTTTGTGTGTCCAGGGGAGAGTCTTTCATTTGGTATCAGCCATTGATTGAGGTTCTGGGTTTTAGCCTGCCACTTTTGGACTCTCACTTGCTGGAGTGTTCCAGCGAGTATCTATCTAGATCTTAGAAAACTATTTCTTGATTTAAGTTGTTGACATGCTGGCTGATACCCAGACAAGGGATGGGATGGAGATGTCACTGTCTTGGTCCTTTTACTATTGGCTGCTACTTCCCGGCGGATGTCAGGTGGTGCAATACCAGCTAGACAGTGTAATTTCTCCAGTGGTATACGGCGCAGACACCCCATGATAATGCAGCATGTCTCATTAAGAGCCACATCCACTGTTTTAGCGTGGTGAGATGTGTTCCACACTGGGCATGCATACTCAGCAGCAGAGTAGCACAGCGCAAGGGCAGATGTCTTCACTGTGTCTGGTTGTGATCCCCAGGTTGTGCCAGTCAGCTTTCGTATGATATTGTTTCTGCACCCACTTTTTGCTTGATGTTCGGGCAGTGCTTCTTGTAGGTAAGAGCAAGGTCCAGAGTGACTCCCAGGTATTTGGGTGCGCTGCAATGCCCCAGTGGGATTCCTTCCTAGGTGATCTTCAGAGCTCGGGATGCTTCTCTGCTCTTGAGATGAAAGGCACATGTCTGTGTTTTGGATGGGTTGGGGATCAGCTGGTTTTCCCTGTAATAGGCAGTAAGAGCACCTAGAGCTTCGGAGAGCTTCTGTTCTACCATCTCAAAGCTCCCTGCTTGAGCAGTAATGGCACGATCATCAGCATAGATGAAACTCTCTGTCCCTTCTGGCAGTGGCTGGTCATTTGTGTAGATGTTGAACATGGATGGGGCAAACACGCTCCAGCAGCAGAGTAGCATAGCACAAGGACAGATGTCTTCACTGTGTCTGGTTGTGATCCCCAGGTTGTGCCAGTCAGCTTTCGTATATTGTTTCTAGCACCCACTTTTTGCTTCATGTTCCAGAAGCGACCAGGAACGGGATAAAAATACCAGAAAGAAAATAAATAAATAATGTTACATTTTAAGCTGTATTTCTGGGATTACTGAAAGATTGGCTGGTGACTGCTGGTTTTCTCGATGTTCAAGGAGAGGCTGAGCTTCTCATACAGTTCTGCAAAGAAGTTTAGAGTGGCTTGTAGGTCTTCTTCTGAATGTGCACAGAGGACGTTGTCATCAGCATATTAGAGTTCTGTAACAGATGTTGTGATCTTTGTTTTGTTTGGCTTTTGGTCTCCTTTATGAAGGATTCTGTATGGAAGGTGGGAGGCTGGCACCATGGGGAGACTGCACTGGGTGCCACCAGCCCTAGTGACGTCACTGCCAAGCAACCCTTGATTGGTCGCACTCTCGGGTTAATTTGCATGGCAAATAGAAGACCAGCTATCGCTATTATTATGATCATTGTGTAAGGGAGGGCCGAGGCGCTGACTTTCTCCTCGCGACCGTTGGGCCCGCGTGGCCGTCACGTGCCATTCAAATGTGGGCAGCGCACGAGGGGAGGGCTGGTCACGTGACGCTACGCTCGCGAAAGCGGAAGGAGCGAGGAGGCGGGGGGGGGAGTTCTGCTCAGCTTGGCGCGCGCGCTTGTAAACAAGCAACATGGCGGCGGCGGCGAAAGCAATGAGGGCAGCGGCCAACCTCCTCCAGCGTCGAGGGGCTATGGCCACGGGGGCTGCCGCCACCGCTAGCCCATCTTCTTCACCCCCTACTATTCTGGGACGCTTATCCTCGAGGGGTTTGGCGCCTGGGCGCTGCTCGGCCTTGCTCTCCGCCGCCAGAGGTTACAGTTCTGAGGCGAAAGGTGGGGAGGAAGAGCTGAGGGTCCGCTATTTGGACGATGAACATAAAGGTAACGCCGGGGTTGTGCGTGGGAGAGAGAGAGAGAAAACTCCCGCTGGAAGGCACGCCAAAGAGCCCCTTCCCCGGGGGCGGCGTCGAGGATCCTCCCTGGTTAGTGGAAGGCACGGGTTCCCTCGCGTCGTCGGTTGCCCTGGCTCCTGGACGTGACGCGGTCGAGCGCTGTCGAATCAGCTGCCCACGAAGCGAGGATGCGGCCCTGTCAATGCCCTCTCGTCATCTTGTGACGCCCAGGAAGGGGATCTTGCGCATTGAAGGCCTCTCACCATCGTGCAAGTTACCGAGGGAGGATCTGCATTGTGGAATGAATGCAGCTTGACACTGATATAACAGCTATGGCTTAAGTCTATGGAGGCCCGAGAGGTGTAGTGCTATAAAGCCTTTACACCTTTCTGCCAAGAGTACCGGTACCTCATCAAACTACAGCTCCCAGGATGCCATACTATTGCGCTAAAGCAGGCGTGGGCAAACTCTGGTCCTCCAGGGTTTTGGACTTCAACTCCCACAATTCCTAACAACCAGTAGGCTGTCCTCTGAGGATGCTTGTCATAGATGCAGGCGAAACGTCAGGAGAAATGCCTCTAGAACATGGCCCTATAGCCTGAAAAAACCTACAAGAACCTAACCAGTAGGCTGTTAGGAATTGTGGGAGTTGAAGTCCAAAACCCCTGGAGGGCCAAAGTTTGCCCATGCCAGAGCAGTTAAAGTGGTGTCAAAGTGCATTAATTCTACAATGTAAACGCATCCTAAGGTTTGGTGTCAAATACAGGGTAAATGCGCCCTGAATTAGTCAACAGCCAAATGAGGTATTGACACCAGCATTCCTTCCCAGGGAAAGCTAAAGTCCCGGTAAAGCTGCAACTCCCAGGATTCCATAGCATTGAGCCATGGCGCTTAAGGTGGTGTCAGACTGCATTCATTCAACAGTATATATGTTCCTAAAGTCAGCATGTCAAATATACTGCATTCAACATAATTATTATTACAGATTATTTCCACATGCAGCTTTTGAAACCACAAACAGCATGGAAGGATCTTTGGAGACATATTCCTTCAGAAATTTCATTTTCTGCTGGAATCAAAAGGTTGAGAGAAGAGATACATTTACACTCAGTACAGTTTGACATAACTTTAACTACCATGGCTCAATGCTATGGAATCATGGGAATTCTCATTTAGTGATGATCCAACATAGAAGGCTAAAGACCTTGTAAAACTATAGCATTAAGGATTCCATACATAGAGTCATCACCGGGAAGCATGGTGAGCTCCCATCTGTCAGCTCCAGCTTCTCATGCGGGGACATGAGAGAAGCCTCCCATAGGATAGTAAAATATCAATGCATCTGGACAATATCCTTGCAGATGGTCAATTCTCTCACACCAGAAGCTACTTGCAAACCCAAGTATGAACACAAAATTCATTGATGATTCATATACACCTTTAGACATACTCAAAGGTAATTTTATATACAATATTTGTAAAACTTTTATGTATGAAACAAGGTTTGTGTACATTGAATCATTTGAAAGCACTGATGTCAGTATTTCAACCACTCAGTTTCGGATTTTGAAGCACACCTTGTAACGAGATATTCATTGATGTTTCTTGTACACCTTATATACATAACCTGAAGGTAATAATTTATATACAAATTAAGGGTTTCACTTTCTCAACAACCTATGTGGACAATTTTGAATCACTTCAGATTTTCAGATAAGAGATACTTAATCTTGTTGCAGCCTTATTTAGACTGTTGGGTTTTTAAAGACCAAAACTAAACCTTTCAAAGAGACCTTATTTCTTCTTTCTTTTTGATGTCTAAACTCTTGGGACAAGGGTGTAATTATGGGAGGAACAACATGAGAAGTATGACCTCAAATATGAATTCTACTTCCCAAAATAAAAGTTTATTTCAGTTCCCAAATCTCTAGCATTATAGAGAATGAGACATTGAAAGTTGTTCTCAATATATTAACATTCTTTTGGTAACTTTGTCCAACCCTTTTCTTAGATGGCCTGCACTGTACTGCTGAAACTTAGCTGAACTTCCAAAATACTAGAACTTTTGAGTCAGAGATAAACTTTCAGGGGTGAATTCAGAATTCTTATTTGAAGGTGCAGTGTCCTCATTTTGCCTTCCTCTCACCATAACTACCCCCATCCCCAACCTGTCTGAAAGAAACTCAGAATCAAGTCCACATACATTGCAGAATGAAATATTAAGCTCTTGTTAATTTCCATGGAGATTCACAAAAATATGGATGTTTCTTTGCCCTGTATACTTATAAGAAAAAGCAGAACAAAAAGTAAGGTCACTTTGGATGATTCATTTGATGTAGACTCACCTGTATTTCAAACTTGAATATTATACTATTGGCCCTACTTTTTGGGAATTTGATGGGATTTACTTCTGAGTAAACTGAATATTCCAAGCCTAAGAAAAACCTGTGAAATACATGGGATTGCATTAGATCAGTGTTTCTCAACCTAGGGGTCGGGACCCCTGCGGGGGTCACCAGGGGGTGTCAGAGGGGTCGCCAAAGACCATAAAAACACAGTATTTTCTGTTGGTCATGGGATTCTGTGTGGGAAGTTTGGCCCAATTCTATCATTGGTGGGATTCAGAATGCTCTTTGATTTTCGGTGAACTATAAATCCCAGCAACTACAACTCCCAAATGTCAAGGTCTAATTTCCCCAAACTCCGCATATGTTCACATTTGGGCCTATTGAATATCTGTGCCAAGTTTGGTCGAGATCCATCATTGTTAGAGTCCACAGTGCTCTCTGAATGTAGGTGAACTACAACTCCCAAACTCAAGGTCAGTGCCCACCAAACCCTTCCAGTATTTTCTGTTGGTTATGGGAGTCCTGTGTGCCAAGTTTACTTCAATTCCATTGTTGGTGAAGGTCAGAATGTTCTTTGATTGTAAGTGAACTATAAATCTCAGCCACTACAACTCCCAAATGACCAAATCAACCCCACTCCCAACCCCACCAGTATTCAAATTTGGGTGTATCAGGTATTTGTGCAAAATTTGGTCCAGTGAATCAAAATACATCCTGCACATTAGATATTTACATTATGATTCATAACAGTAGCAAAAGTAGTTATGAAGTAGAAATTAAAATAATTTTGTGGTGGGGGGGGGTCACCACACTATGAAGAAGTGTATTAAGGGGTCACTGCATTAGCAAGGTTGAGAACCACTGCATTAGATTAATGGACAACTTGAAGACATATACAAATATGCCTTAAAAAGTCCTATCACATTCATGGTGTTGCCATAAGTCAACAAACTACTTGAAGGCACATACACACACACACACACACACAAACATGTCTAATGCTATGCTTCTATTTCACATGTGAAAATCTGCCCAGGGTTTTGCTATAATTGGGGACAATTGAAAATTTGGTTTAGTTTATTCATAAAGTGCAAATCAATCTGAGCTACTCTTTCTAGAGCAATCTGATTGCAACCACCTTGCTCTTTTCAAACATCTCCAAATCTTGTAGTGTCGCTCTTGAGTTAAAAACTAAATGGTGCATTTTAAAATAAATCTTCATTTAGAAATGTATAGCATGTTTTTAAAATAGTAGCAAATATTAGTGACAAATTTCACCTTTGGAGATGTTCTGGTGGTGATCTCTTTACAAGCAGAGCTCAACTTTTACATTGGGGAAATCAATCTGGAAAAAGGCAGTCCTCCAGTTACAAACATCCGACATATGATGTGTATATGACTCCTTCCAGTAGTACAAATGGAGGTGAGACAACAGGAAGTGCAAGGAAATCTACTCGTAGGAAGGGAAATTCAATCCTGTAAGAGATGTGGGGGAAAAGATATCTCCACTAAGCCTTATCACAATTCCATTTTTCCATGATAATCCAATTTTTTCAAAATCCAATTGTCACAGGGACAAGTGTGATGAAATCTTTTGAACGCAGGCACAGATACCAAAACAAACATTACAGGAGTGTTAACCCTTCCCTGTACTATTCAAAACTTTAAAAAATGTTTTTGGCTAGAGTTACCTATTAAGGCTTACATATCAATTCAATGTAAGAATAAACATACAGGACCTGTCTTTGTCGTAACCCAAGGGCTGTCTATATTCTGTACTGTCCACTTAGGTAAAAATCACAACTGGAGACTTAATAGTTTTGAAAGGCAGCATGGTTGAGATGTATTGTGGTAGCAGCCATAATAAAATGTTGTCATTATTTTCTATGAGGAGATGACAAGGAAACTTATTAATTATAAAGTTCCATTGTATAATAGCTCTCTCTTTTAAAATATTATTTTGGGATGGATTGTAGCCTTAATATGCCCAACTATGTCACTGTTGACTTTTATACCAAATAACTATTCTGTAATGTATGGAGTATATCAGAACATCTGGGAGTCCACTGGGCAATGTCCTTGCAGATAACCAATTCTCTCACACCAGAAGCTACTTGCAGTTTCTCAAGTCATTCCTGACACGGGAAAAAAACCCTAGTTTCAAAATTTCCCAACTAATTCCCAAAAGAAAAGCTATATAAATAATATTAAGATATTATGAATTAATTTCTAATAATTGCATATTCTTTTTTTTCCAGTAATAAGTTATGCTTTTTACTTCAAGCAGTTACTACTAGAAATTTAGATTATTTATATGTGTATTCATGATGCATCCTTGGGAAGAACTGTTCAAAGAAATGAGACTCCAGTTTTGTCAATAGATAAAAGATGTAGACTACAAAATGTAACAATAAACTTATTAAAGACTGATTACTGTTATTTCTTCTTTTTATAGGAATCGTCGTACTTGGATTGAACAGAGAACATGCAAAAAATGCACTTAATAAACATGTCATAAAAATGGTAAGTTGGGGACTCATTAATCTTATGTCAATCTGCAATGCTGATAGTAAGTGTTGATAACTTGCACACCTTTTTTCTGTAGATATCAAAAGTTATGGAAGCTTTGAAAACTGACAAAAAAGTACGGACGATTATATTCCGAAGTGAAGTTCCTGGGGTATTTTGTGCTGGTATGCAAATTTAATTTTTTTTCTATTCCTTTGGAAATCCATAAATTATCAAAACCCAGTAGAGAAGACTGAGAATCTAAAATTCATTTCAGTAAATACATATAGACAATTTATGGACTTATACTTTTTCTTTAGCCATATAAAAAGGTCAGAAAAAAACCTTTTGCAAGCTTCTGAGCCCTTGAGTCCAGAACCAAGATTGAACAAGAAATTTTAAAATGTGGAAGGATAAAACAATAAAGTGTTTTAAACCATGAAACCTGGTTTTGATTATTCCGTGGCCCTGTATCATTTTTTTTTTTTTAAAAAAAACACAATTGCAGTTTCTTTGCAAGCCACACAAGTGAGCTCATTAGCTCTGCAAGGCTTTCAGAGAGACCTCCAAAATGTTCAATTAAAACTGGGATAAGGTAGCATTGGTGACATAATTCTTGGAATGCTTCTCTAGACCAATGCAGAGTGGTGCAGAGGTTATGAGTGGTCATTCTGTTTGCTGAGTCTGCAAAGGCACTCTTGCGTGTGCATTGTTTGGGAAATAGCTGCTTGACCAGTCATCAGGTAAGGGGCTCTCCAGTCTGGTGTATGTAACTGAGCTTGACTACTGGCGGAGTAAGTGCACGAGTAGCACTTGGAAGAGCCATTGGCACAGATCAGAGCAAACTAGGCTCCTTCCCGTTCCTGGCCTAGGTTGGCTTCCAACCCACCCACCACTAGCAGCAGTGTAGCAGCAGCAGAGCCTTTGCAGAATCAGCAGACAGAATAGCTGCTGTGACCCTCCATGCTGCTCTGTTCTGGTCTGGGGAATAATTCCAGGAAATTTTGCCTCCATTGCTACCCTAAGCCAGTTTTAATGGAAATTTGACCATGCATTTTTTTTTTTGTTATCTGCAGGGGTCCTGGAACCAATCCCCTGTAGATATTGAGGGCCCACTTAATCTTGGAAGTGGGAGGATGCCATAATTGTTAGATTATAATTTCCTTGCTTATTTCATCCCAATAGCCTTGGGAGAGTCCCAAGTTTTCTAAAAACCTCTTCCTACTTTTCATAGAGTTGATTTTTATTTTTTTCCTTTTGGTCAGTCCTACCTTCCTTTACAAGTTCTATATTTTAAACAACCTCAATTGCTTTAAAAATCCAAAATGGCTTTATAGGATGAAGCAGTTTTCATCCATTACCATGTGTGTATTTGTATGTGTGTGTGTTTATTTTTTTAAATGCCGTCACAGCTGAGATTGTGTTTGGTAATATGTTTAGAGAACACAGTAATTTTAATCTTAGGTAATATGAAATATACTATATCTTGAAATGAGTTCAAGCAAAAAGTTTCAGTTACACAGTTCATATTGTCTAAGATTGAAACAGTTCAAGGAAAGGTGATGGAGTTAGAAGAACCTGACCTCAGTCTTCTTTATCTTTTCCTCTACTGAAGTCAGGTGGAGTGGCAGCTACAGTCAAACAGTTGAAATATGGTAATGTGTCTAAGCAGAACTTTTGGTATTGCTTGTTTCCCTGCTCCTTTTGTGCAGCTTGATGGACATAAAATAAATGTGCGCTAAGAGGTTGTTCATTTCTGTGTATGTAGTTGTCGCCATGATTTTATTTATTTATTTATTTATTTCATTTTTACCCCGCCTTTCTCACCTGAGGGGACTCAAGGCGGCTTATGCCTCTGGCAAGAATTCAGTGCCAGTAAAACCCAACAGTAAAAACATATCCCACAGTTAAAATGATTAACGGTTAAGTAATAAAACAGATAAAACAGTATACACATTAAAAGCATATAATTATTTGAAACTTGGAGAAAGCAGAGCTGTATGTCCAGTAGGGATGGAAAATGTACCCCAAAGTATTCTTTTCTTGACAAAAAAGAAAGGGTATCTTAACTAATAGAAAAATACATTCCACATCAAATTAATTACTGTAATTTTATTCCTCCTTTTTTTGCTTTTTGAGAAAATATAAGAAAATGTAGATTTTGAACAATGTTTTAGCAAAAAAAGCAGCAATCAAAAAATAGAAAATATGAAAAATCATTTTCCCAAAATGTGCAAAAAATACATATCCTTGGTATTTCAGTGGTTCCAATTTTCATCTAAAGAACAGTGCTGAGATTGCTACATGTTTCTGTATATAAAGTGCATTATATCTAGTTGTGGATAGTGCAAAGACATTTTAATACTTCTCTAGTGTCTTTGTGTATGATCCAAATCTTCTCCAAAGGGTTAGGGAAAAGTCCCTTTCCAATTTTAAGGAGGGGATGGGACTGCACAGGAGGAAGGGAAAAGAAACTTGAGTGAAAATTCGCTTGAGTGAAAATTTGTTTAACATTTGATTTAACATCTATGGTGGAATAGGCACTGTTGGTGCAGATGCTCACCTGTGTCAGTTGATACGCTTTGGCAGTGCCATTTTTATTGTTGATCAGAAGTAGAGGAAACATAGTATTTTGTAAGATTAATATGAAGTTAATCTTGTTCTGAACTTTCATGAAGGTGGAAGTGAGAGTTACTGATTGCTCCATGAAATCTTTCCTATGCGATCCTATAGTGTCCATTCCATTAATTCCTCAGTTGAGTTGAACACAGCAGAGGATGTCTCAAATATTAGGATATCCTTCTATAGCTTCTCATCTAACAATGATTCACTCTTGACATTGTGCATTTAATTTCAGGTCACAGTAGGAAACCAAATTTGACCTAGTTAGTTCACAGTTTATCTAGCCATCATCCAAATAAAGATGAGTGACAAGATAAGAAGTGTGTTAGTTTCATTGTTTGGATTCACAGCATATGGAGTAGATTTGCTATGGTATGAATGGTTAGTTCTTTCTGTTTTATTTTTAATGTATTTTTAAAGACAATACCCACTCAAGCTCCTAATGTGGGTATGATGCATTATTGAAAAAACATTTTAAAACTTTTTATTCAAGCTCTGACACATGGCTTTAGTTTAATTTTAATTTTTTCACTTGTTAAGCATGCTTTTTATGTTCTCTTGGCAAAAGAAAAGCATACTAAATACATCACCAGATTTTTGTCATCTTTGGCTTTTAATATGTCTTAGCTATTTCTGTAACATGAGTGGGATGATTATATGAAACATTTGAGTCATATTTAATTATGCATACACGTGCGTTTGGTCTACAAAGCATAACCCCCCACTCTTTTTTGCCGACAAGTGGTTTGTTTTTAGACTAGGTAAAAAGACTTAAAATAGCTGGCTTTAATTTCAGTGTTTTTTCCCCTTGTCACATTTATTCTAGATACGGTAGTCTGTAAAAGCAGATATGGAGTGTTCTTCCTGATGCTTAAATATAAAATTTTAAATAAAGCTGTTCAGATATTGGATATCACATGCAATTTTGACACATGCATTCATGGATAAGGCCGTGCGGTTTTCCATCTGAATGTTACATTCCTGAAATTATGTCATTATGTTTGTACCTCCAAAATATTTTATCTTAGGATAAACATAAAAACAACCTATGAATGTTTGGTGTTATAAACATCTATATAAATAAAAGAAGTCCTTTGTGGCCAAAGAACCTAACCCTACAGAGCAGTGTTTCTCAACCTTCCAAATGCCGTGACCCCTTAATACAGTTCTTCATGTTGTGGTGACCCCCAACCAGAAAATTATTTTCATTGCTACTTCATAACTGTAATTTTGCTACATTTGTACCCCACCCTTCACAACCCTGAGGGGGACTCATAGCAGCTTCACACATTGGCAACAATTCAATGACGTAAAATTTTTATTTATTTATTTCAACATTTGTACCCCATCCTTCTTGTCCCCTGCATACAGTTGAGAAAGATTTACATTAAAAACCAAAGATTTTTTAAAAAAATCTAAAAACAATTATATCAATTACTAAAATCACACAATCCATAATTGTAATGTTGCTACTGTTATGAATCGCAGTGTAAATACCTGATATGCAGGATGTATTTTCATTGTTACAAATGGAACATAATTAAAGCATAGTGACTGATCACAAAACAATATGTTTGGGGGAGTATAGACATCGGATGATGGGATTTGCAGTATTTTGACTGATTCAGCTCTGACATCCACAGACAACAGAGACCTTCACGAATTACAGACCTGGACCAAATTGGCACAAAGAACGCCCATGACCATCAGAAAAGACTGGAAGGGTTTAGGGAGGACTTAACAGTTATTTGGGGGAGATGTAGTTCACCTACATACAGAGAGCACCGTGAACCCAAACAACTATGGATCTGGACCAAACTTGGGGGAAAACAGACCTTGACATTTGGGAACTGCTGGGATTTATAGTTCACCTGCAACCAAAGAGCATTCTGAACTCTCTCGTCAGGCACAGAAGGCTTTTGGGTTGGCTGAGCAAGCGGGTGGATGGGCAGGGAAGGCAGGAGGAGCATCCCCTTGCCACAGCGCCTCGCTTCCTGCCTGCCTTGGGCCTGGTCGCAAACGGGAGATCAAGCAGTCCGGGGGAGGGGTGCTTTCACCGCTGTGTTTGCAGACCCGGGCCTTCACGCTGCAGCCATTGCCCGGGGGAGGCGCCTGCAAATGAATCGCCCACCCCCTCCGAGGGAATAGTAGCCTGGTGGAGGACACTGGAAGGCTCTCCCGCGCCCTTGGCAGAAAAGGCCAAAGACCTTATAACACTACAACTCCTGTCATGCCATACCACTGAACCATGGCAATGAAAAGGCCTTCTCTGGGCCCTTCCACACAGCTATATAACCCAGCACACCAAGGTGGAAAATCCCACAATATCCGCTTTGAACTGGGTTATCCGAGGCCACACTGCCATATATTCCAATTTAAAGCAGAAAATGTGGGATTTTATTCAGCTGTATGGAAAGGGCCTGGGTTATCTGAGGCCCCTTACATACAGCTGCAAAAAATCCAAATTGAAGTGGATTATCTGGCAGTGTGGACTCAGTGCAAAGCTGATATTGTGAGACTTCCTGCCTTGATATTCTGAGATATAGGGCTATGTGGAAGGGCCCTTAGTGGGGTCTCCTTCTTTGGTGGTTCTTAATCAGGGGCTGGGTGGCCATTTGTCAGGAGGGCTTTGATAGTGTCTTCCTGCCTGGAAGAATGGGGTGGGACTGGATGGTCCTTGGGGTCTCTCCCAATTATGAATCTGTGAGTCCATAAAATTTGTAAATTAAATTCCAAAGCATACAGACATTAAACCAGAATTAAACACAGGAATTATTTAAAATACATAAGTCCACACTGATAACCCAGTTCAAAGCGGATATTGTGAGACTTCCTGCCTTGATATTCTGAGATATAGGGTTGTGTGGAAGGGCCCTTAGAGGGTCTCCTTCTTTGGTGGTTTTTAGGCAGGGGCTGGGTGGCCATCTTCCAGGCAGTGTCTTCCTGCCTGGAAGAATGGGGTGGGGCTGGATGGTCCTTGGGGTCCCTCCCAACTATGAATCTGTGAGTCCATAAAACAGAAAAAGGATTTTCTGCCAAGGTTCCAACGTTATTGGCTTTGTATGGCAGGAATGGGGTTGGGCTGGATAGCCCTTGGGGTTCCTCTCCCAGCTCTATGATTATCTCAATGCAAGCTGAGAACAGTGGGGAACCCTCCTTCCTTGGTTGCTCTTCCAAAATCCAAGACACTGCCTCTTCTCCCAGGATCGTATCCCATGCACAGCCACAGAAGCCCCAAACCTCCGTGCTTCCAGCCTCCATGGCCTCGCGCCCAAGCAGCAGCAGCAACAGCCCCACACTGACGTCAGGAGGGAGGGGAGGGGAGGGGGGGAAAGAGGAGGAAATCTCTTAAAGGGGCAGCAGAGCTTGATTCCCTGGCGCTCAAAAAAAGAGCAAGGACAACAAAAGGGGAAGAGGCCAAGCCTTACTCAGTGTGCTGCTCTCTCCGCCCTTGGTGAAGAGCGCAAGCGAGAAAGATGAGGCCTGAATGGAGGGAGGGGACGGCCAGGCGCAGAGGCCCCAGGGAGGGAAGGGAGGGAGGAAGGGACAATGGGAGGGAAAAGAAGGAAGGAAGAGGCGGGGGGGGGCGCCTCCAGGGAGAGGGAGGCAGAGAAAGGTCGCAGGCGTGAAGGGGCATTTACGGAAGCGCCTCAGAGCGCCCCCTGGCCAAAAAAAGTTCCGCAACCGTTTACTCTGAGTAATGCATGAACTGTCTCTGCCTGCTGGATTGATGCTGGGCTGCTATTCTTGCACTGCCGGCGGGCCTCTCCTCCAACCCCGCCAACCTGCTGCTGTACAAGCAGGCCCAGAAGGGTCTTCACTGCGGTGCAAATGGCATGGATACAGGGATCTTTTTGGCCCTGCCTCCAAGCGCCTCCCTGGAATTCCTCGCCGCCGGAGGAGGAGGAACCCCTCCACACCGCACAGAGGGGGCGGGGCCTAGGGAAGGGATGCCGCGACCCCCCAAAAATTGCCAATCGACCCCCCGAGGGGTCGCGACCCCCAGGTTGAGAACCGCTGCACTAGACGAATTGACACCACATTTGAACACAAGACACCAACTAAAGCAATCTATGTCCTTCACTAAAAAAGAAACAAAACAAAACCCAGAAAGAACTTAAACCCCCCACAAAGCTAAATGACTATACAGAGCATGCGTTAAAAGAACACCCTCCCCCACCCCTCCCTTCTGCATGAGGGAAAAAACCCAACAGCTGAGAGAGAGGTAGCTTGAGAGAGGGAGGGAAAGGTGGCAGTATAACACTCTTGCTACCCCCTGCCTCTCCCCCCTCCCCAAAGGATTCAGAGATAGGGAAGGAGAGAGAGAGGGGGGGCACCTTCTTCCAGATCCACCCCTCCCTTTCCTTCCTTTCCTTTTCCGCTGTCGGCAGCATGGAGGTGCCTCCACTGGGAACTCACACGGGGGGGGGGGGGGGGGGGATTCATTCTCTCTCTCTCTCTCTCTCTCTCTCTCTCTCTCTCTGTGTGTGTGTGTGTGTGCGTGCGTGCGTGCCCAGAAAGCTCACCCATACTGAATTCTGGGAAGGAATTCTGGGAAATGAAGTCCAATATTCAAAGAAAGGACAAAAAGACATGCTCTGTGAGTTAGGAAAGTCTGTCCAGGAAGGCACAATCAAAACACTCCCGAAAGATGGTCATCCATTTTTACTTTATAGCAACCCTGGGCTATATTATATCTACAATAATAATATCTATATATCTATCATAATATCTATAAGTCTCTCTCTCTCTATATATATATATAATATCTATATGTCTATAACAATAATATATACATGTCTATAATAATATCCCTACGTCTGTAATAATAATGTCTATATGCCTATAATAATATCTAAAGGTCTGTAATAATATCCATACATCTGTTACCCGTTTTTGCTCGAAAGATGTTTAGCCCTGTGCTCCTTGTATTTTTTATCAGTCTTATACTAATTCATGCAATGCTTTGAGTCCCCCCAGGGGTGAGAAAGGCGGTATATAAATACTGTAAATAATAATAAAATTTTGATATGAAATAAAAAAATACATCTATAATAATAATACCTATATACCTTTAATAATAATATTTGTGTCTATAATAATAATATCTATATGCCTGTAATAATATCTATATGTCTACAACAACAACAACAACACCTATATAATATCTTTGAACTGGGTTATATGCCAGTGTGGACTCAGGTAACCCAGGGCCCTTCCACACATTCTAATAATAATAATAATAATAATAATAATAATAATACTTTATTTGTACCCCACTACCATCTCCCCAAGGTACTTGGTGCGGCTTACATGAGGCCAAGCCCACAGCACATCAGTAAACAAAAGCGATAACAAATAATCAGTACAAAACAGTTAAAATAAAAACTCAAAATCAAAAATACACAAAAAACAATAACAATAACGTATAGCATATAAAAACCCATATAACCCTTTGGCCTCGAGGAGACTGAAAAGGGGCTTATATTAGGTTGACACTTTGCCACTTCAGTTGTGTATTGATAGCTTAGAAACCAGCTCTTCCTCTTTTCTTTCTTTCCCATTTCTCCACAATGGGCCACAGCTAGTAACTATATATTTTCATTGAGTTAATACATTCAAGATAATAATCTTGACAAGAAAGCAAGGTGTTCATCTTGGATTTATTTTATTGTGTGCATTATAGTTGTTTCAAGCTTATGGTGCCCCTAAGGAAAATCTATTGTGGGTTTTCTTAGCAAGATTTATTCAAGATTTACTCAAGTCACCTACTGGGTTCCTATGGGTGAGTGAAAATTCAAACCCTGGACTCTAGAATAGTATTCCAGTGCTCAAACTACTACAATATAGTAACTACACCATACTGGTATTGATTGTTATTTCCCCTTTCTTGGAACCAAACTGTTGTACAGACTGTGAAGCAGTTACAGCTTTGGAAGGTCATGGGAAGCAAACTGCTGTGGTTTGAACTCATTATGGGTGCGGTTTTGAGGGGGGGGGCAACCCAAAACTACCTCCCACTTGTTTAAAAATGAGTATAGGTGGGTTGTTATAGGTTTTTCGGGCTATATGGCCATGCTCTAGAAGCATTCCCTCCTGACGTTTCATCTGCATCTGTGCCAGGCATCCTCAGAAGTATGGCCATGCTTCTACAACATGGCCATACAGCCCGAAAAACCTACAACAACCCAGTGATTCCGGCCATGAAAGCCTTCAACAATACATTGAGTATATGTGCTTTGAAAGACTTGATGGTTTGCACTTAGGAATCTGAAGGACTGCATGGAGCCACAGCTTGCATTTTGTCCACCTGTTGCCTACACTATATATTTAGTTCTGTGTAGATCTGCAACAAAACTGGGCTGAGGGATTAAAATGTCTGATCTTGATTCATAAGGGTTAAAATCTGCCTTTCTCTTTTAGGGCAAAAAAGTTCTAAAATCTATGCATAACCCAACCAAATATTTTTCTTTTTACTGAGTTTTACTCTGTTAAATGGGTATAATTACCTCCCATCTCATTTTCTATCCAGGGAATGTTTAAACATGTACATATTTGTTCAGGCCTTGCACAAATGATATCTTTTCAGTTCTTTTTCTTGGTCTAGTGTTGACAACCTCTTGAGATACTTGGTTGTAATCTCTGATTTTAAGCAAATCCTGACTAGTATTTCCCTCTTTGAAGTTATTACCCTCCGCTGTGATTTTCTTCAGAAAGGAAAGGGATGAGTGAATGTACTTATGAAGTTGCAGTGGATAGAGGAAGGAGGGCACTAGCCCTTTGTAAGTCAGATATTTTCTTAGATTGTCCCTTTTAAGATTTCTGTAAAACATTTAATATTTTAAATGCTTGACTAATTGTTTTTATAAGGATTTATTAACATAATAACAGAATCTTGTCAAATAAATTAACAGTCCTGATCTTGGGGCTAGGCATGTACTTAAGTTTTGTGAGAAATGTTTGCATTGCTTTTATTGAAAGTATTTGTTGTTGTTGTTATCATCATCATCATCATCATCATAAATGGATGCTTCTTTTTGTGAAATTTGAATATAAATATAACAAGAACATATCACTTGTAGGTGCTGATCTTAAAGAAAGAGCCAAAATGCACTCTAGTGAAGTAAGCTCTTTTGTCTCAAAAGCAAGAGCAACTATTAATGAAATAGGTAAGTGGAAATCTTATTGTTTATAAGTGTTATAAGTGTAAGATTTATTATGGACTAATGAAAATAACGATCATTACAATAGCCTTTGTAATGTGATGTGTAATTCCCTTTGTGAAATATTATGAAGTTATTAAAGTCAGATATATTATTTCCATCTTGTAAGGGTGAATTAATGGAATGTGGAATCCAAAAGTCTTTCTCCTTTTTGTAGGGCGTTTCTCAGTTGAACCTTTCCACTTTTCATCATATTGTTGGAGGTTCTCATTTCCATCAGACTGTATAACTGTGGTTTTAAACAGTCAGCATTAAGCAACTGTGATGAATGGATGAGAAGGAGAATTTAGAGTTGTTTTCTGTGGCATAGATTCGCTGAAGGCACTATTTCACATTTTGTCCTAGAGACAATCTACACTTGTTACAAACGGTGATGGTGTGGTAGTCATTGCTTATCGCCTGTAGTGATGCTAACCAAAGTGAAGAAGCAATACGAGAGAGCGGAGGGAGAAAAGAAGAATAATTCCCTCCTTTCCTCTTTCTTCTCCAATCACTTTATCACTCCAGCTAGCATCATTACAGGCAATGAACAGTGACTATCACTAGTTTTGTGCCCAATGGTTGCTGCTATGCCCAGAACAATGGGGAAGCCAAGTGTCATTACAAACCCCCAGGACTGCCAGAGCCTGGGAAAAGCATAATGATTGCCATTCACACAGCCACAAAGTGCAGGAAAACTCTGGGGCTTCAGCATCAGAGCATCCTGCAGCCTTTTAAAATGTGGGACGAAGTTGCATTACGTGATCTTCTCTTGCATTAAAGCGAATAGATCCCACAGTTGGATGCCATGAAATCCATCCATCCAAACATCGACTCATTTAGCCTGCATAGATGGATGCGTAGAAATCTTAATTCTTCTTTATTTCTATTGTTATTTCTAATGTCAGATTTGCATCCATGTATTATAAAGAAAATGGCATATTTGTTGGCATTTTGGATATTTGGATATTTGTTGGCAACTAATGGGATATTTAGATTAAAGATCAGATGTTTATGTCTCTAAAATGAATAGTAAAAGAAACTTATATTTTTGGTTCAAAGACATAGTTTGTTTTGTAACAATGTACAGCTAATGTAGCCCACATATATTAAGAATACTTCTATTTTAAGTGATTATTGTTAAACATTTACTTTTACTTAGGTACTTCTAGGTTACTTTATTATGTAGACAGTCCCACTTGGGTTAATAAAATTACTGACTTACCAATATATACACAGATGCACCTAAATAAAGCAAGAGGTTATTGTGATGAAAACGAAACGGTCAGATTAATGCTGATAAATATGTATTTTGAATGCCAGACTCATTGTTCCATTTAATTTTTCATCATCATTCATCTTCCAGCTGTCAAAGAAGTCTGTGGACATTGAAAAAAGCACAACCAAGTAATTTGCCCACAGAAAAATAATTTCACTGAATCAATTTTATGCCAGAAAAATTGCCCTGAGGGTTGAGTGAAATGTATTGAGCAAATGACTTCTCTGTCTTCATGGTGCTAATTGTTTCTTTCTCTTTCAGCTAATCTTCCAGTACCAACTATTGCTGCAATAGATGGCATTGCATTAGGTGGTGGCCTAGAATTGGCTTTAGCCTGTGACATACGAGTGGCAGGTAAGATTTAGTCATATTTGTACAATTGTAGGACTCATAGTGTTGCCTAATGTTTATGTAGGAAAGTATTTTTTTATTTTAAATATTCTTCTATTTAAGGTATAATCAACACCTCAGTTAGTGACATGTTTTTTACTATGTATTTATGCTGGCTTCTCATTAACTGTAGAGGAGCCCCCGATGGTGCAATGGGTTAAATCCTTGAGTTGGCAGGACTGCTTACTGAAAGGTCAGCAGTTCGAATCTGGGGAGTAGGGTCATCCCCTGTCTGTCAGCACCAGCTTCTCATGCAGGGACATGAGATAAGCCTCCCACAGGACTGTAAAAACATCTGCCATCCCCAAGGCTTTGTAAAAAGGAGCTTCTTTGCCTATACTTTTACTTAGGAAAAGCCTTTTCTGAGGCAGTAGTCAATTGGTTTTACCACAGAATAATTAGTATTACCCTGACTTTTTGATATTGCCAGAAATTGCTAAAAGGATAAAAAAATATACATAATGGTGAATATCACATTTTCTGTTTAATCAGCTGAGATCAATCAATTCTTTTTGCCAACATAAAGACATCCACATCACTGTTTTTGGCCACCATTGATAATATGCTCTATTCCATTGTGGCAGTGGTTTGTGACAATGCATTTCGTTGTTGTTGAATCTTGTGGGATAATACAAATTTTAAATTTTTCACTGTATGTTCAAAGAAAAAGGGAACATGAGAAAATTCTATGCTTAGAAAGACATCTATTTGAAAAAAAATAATGACACAGAGAAATTTAAATAGTGGGATTTATTTGTCACCTTATATTTGAATTGTTTTCTTTCCTTGTTATGTTTCCTCAATATTTATAACTATTTGGTTTGGGGGAAAACAACAGACATTTGTGAATTTTTTAAAAATTACAATGAAATTTCTTTAGCTTGTCTTAACTTTGCAAAATAAGACCTACTATGGACTAAATCCTGTTTTAATTCTAACTGGAGTAACAGTAAATTTAGGCTGACTATGTACTGTAAAATTAATGCAGTATAGCACAGTTTAACCGCCATGGCTCAGTGCTATGGAATCCTGGAATTTATAGCTCAGAAGGGCCTTGCACTCTGGCAGAGAAGGCTAAAGACTGTAAAACGACGACTCCCATGATTCCATGGTATTGAGCCATTGCCACAATGAATCGGAATTACTTATTAACATAAACTAATATAAAAAGATACATGAAAATGCTATAAAGTAATGTTTACTGTTTCAGCCTGTTAATAAAATTTAAAGCATTGTTGGGGGAGACAGATAAAACAGTCTGCAAAAATACGTGAGGAAAAGCATCTTTTATGCAAATTACTGGCTATTTAATATATTTACCTGAAAAGCTTATCTGATCCTGAGTGTTTTAGTGAATTCAGGTCTAACGTATCAACAGTTTTTACATAAGTTCCTGTTTATTTAATTAAAGCAATTTAAAGATTTCACAAGAACTAACTTCTTCTTCTTTTTTAGCCACTTCTGCAAAAATGGGTTTAGTTGAAACAAAGTTAGCAATAATTCCTGGTGCAGGTATGAACATTTTTTCATAACGTTATAGTTCTGGTATTTGTGATTGTTGATCATTTGAGGCTATCTTTGTCTAGCATTACAAGCAGAATATGGATTCTGTTAGTTTTACTGTTGACCCTGCTGCTTGTCAACCCCCATGGATCTGACAGGGTAGTATTTGAAGTGGTGTTGGGAACTCTTGGTCTATCCTTTTATTTTGCTTTTAAACATTCATACCCCAGCATGTCTCAGCTGTTTTTTCTTTAACCATGATACAGGTTTCTGCCACCATTACCCCGATGCTGGCCTTCTCCTGGTACGCAGAAATGACGCAACAGAAGAGGGTGTCAGGATCGATCCCCCCCCCCCCCCCGCACATAATTTCTATGTGCCAGGAGAAAAGTGGCAGCAGGGTAATGGTGGCCAAGTAAGTAATTTTTATTTTTAAGGCTTTTCTGGGGGGGGGGGGGTATTCTTGCTTTTCTGGGGGGCATCTCTCTTCCCTCCACACCCCCCCCCCCGGAAAGTGAGTGTTTTCTGCTGGTGTGGGGATAGAAGTCTGGCTTGACCTGGATTATTTAAACCCGGGTCAGACCGGACCTTTCCCCTGTGTGGAACCGGCCTCAGTCCTATCTGAAGATTCCAGGTATTTCTGGTAGTTTGCAATTCAAGTGTTAACCAGACCCAATACTGCTTGGCTTCTAAAGTCTGATAATATCAGGTGTGTATTGTCGAAGGCTTTCATAGCCGGAATCACTGGGTTGTTGTAGGTTTTTCCGGGCTATATGGCCATGTTCTGGAGGCAATTTTTCTCCTGACGTTTCACCTGCATCTATGGCAAGCATCCTCAGAGGTAGTGAGGTCTTGATTAGCATTCAATGGCTTGGAAGTGCCCGGGGGAATCCCTTGTTGAGAGTGATTTTATGTGCCTGTTTGTTTCCCCTCTGTTGTTTTGCTGTTGTGATTTTTGAGTCCTTTAATACTGGTAGCCAGATTTTGTTCATTTTCATGGTTTCTTCCTTTCTGTTGAAATTGTCCACATGCTTGTGGATTTCAATGGCTTCTCTGTGTAGTCTGACATGGTGGTTGTGAGCAAAGGACAAGAGGGATCCTCTCACCTCTGCAGGAGTCTACCGTGTACCGGCAGCTGTGGTCAAGTCTACATAGGGACCACCAAACGCAGCGCCCAGACACGCATCAAGGAACATGAAAGGCACTGCAAACTACTCCAACCAGAGAAATCAGCCATAGCAGAGCACCTGATGAACCAACCTGGACACAGCATATTATTGAGAACACAGAAGTGCTGGACCACTCTCACAACCACCATGTCAGACTACACAGAGAAGCCATTGAAATCCACAAGCATGTGGACAATTTCAACAGAAAGGAAGAAACCATGAAAATGAACAAAATCTGGCTACCAGTATTAAAGGACTCAAAAATCACAACAGCAAAACAACAGAGGGGAAACAAACAGGCACATAAAATCACTCTCAACAAGGGATTCCCCCCGGGCACTTCCAAGCCATTGAATGCTAATCAAGACCTCACTACCTCTGAGGATGCTTGCCATAGATGCAGGCGAAACGTCAGAAAAATTGCCTCCAGAACATGGCCATATAGCCCGGAAAAACCTACAACAACCCAATATCAGGTGTGTTCATTAACACGAATCCCCCCCTTTCCATTTTCACATGACAGCAGTAGTCTATCAATTCAAAATTGGTATTTAATATGCAAGACATAAATAACTGCAGTAGATGTGGGTTTGCCTGAAAATCAATTGAACACTTAGGATTAATTTGAAGGCTTGCTTTTGTAAGCAAAATATTCCTCATCATTACAAGTCTGTTGAAAACTTAGCTTTATTTGCATTTAATAATATTTTGTAATATTTGTTTTATGTTTCTTTTTAAATAAATAACCTCAAGAGAAAATGTTAATAGCACAGAAAGCAGATGTTTGAACAGCAACTCTTGCTTCCAAGTAATTAAACAAAGTATGTAGAGTGTTAATGGGAATAGGTGGATTAGTTCTGCTTCTCTAAATTAGGGTGAATTGTGGTGTGTAGATGCTTCCTGCTGCTTTTTTTAAAAAGCAAGAACAAGTCTTAATTCAAATGAGTTTCTTTGTAATTGGCTTGATAAATATTTTTTAGTGATAATGCTTCTGAGGCAAATATGCAAATATTATACAACAATTTTCAGAGCCTTTTCAAATTACTTTTGTATATTAGGAAGTCTAATCTGGTGCCAAATATTATGATGTTATGTAGGCTGGTATACTGTATTCTTTGTATATGTGGGTTATCGTACACAAAAGGTGTACACAGCTTTGTATATTTTGTTAGAAAACACATACAGACACACAATATGTATATATATGTTTAGTTATTTAATGTATATCCAATATGATACCTGTTGTTGTTCATTCGTTCAGTCGTCTCCGACTCTTCGTGACCTCGTGGACCAGCCCACGCCAGAGCTCCCTGTCGGCCGTTACCACCCCCAGCTCCCTCAAGGTCAGTCCAGTCACTTCAAGGATGCCATCCATCCATCTTGCCCTTGGTCGGCCCCTCTTCCTTTTGCCTTCCACTTTCCCCAGCATAATTGTCTTCTCTAGGCTTTCCTGTCTCCTCATGATGTGGCCAAAGTCTTCAACTTTGTCTCTAGTATCTTTCCCTCCAGTGAGCAGTCGGGCTTTATTTCCTGGAGGATGGACTGGTTGGATCTTCTCGCAGTCCAAGGCACTCTCAGAACTTTCCTCCAACACCACAGCTCAAAAGCATCGATCTTCCTTCGCTCCGCCTTCCCTAAGGTCCAGCTCTCACATCCGTAGGTTACTACAGGGAATACCATGGCTTTGACTAGGCGGATCTTTGTTGCCAGTCTGATGTCTCTACTCTTTACTATTTTATCGAGACTGGACATTGCTCTCCTCCCAAGAAGTAAGCGTCTTCTGATTTCCTGGCCACAGTCTGCATCTGCAGTAATCTTTGCACCTAGAAATACAAAGTCTGTCACGGCCTCCACGGTTTCTCCCTCTATTTTCCAGTTGTCAATCATTCTTGTTGCCATAATCTTGGTTTTTTTGACGTTTAGCTGCAACCCGGCTTTTGCACTTTCTTCTTTCACCTATGGTGAAATATGATACCTATGGTGGCTTATAATAAAAGTTAAAATACAAGTAAAACAATATATAATACAACAGTATAATCCAGTTGTTAAAAAATAATTTTCAAAAAATTTAAAAGAAGTTTAAAACATAAAGATCAAAATCCAGCAAACACTAGCCATTTCAAGGTCTTTTCTGCTACAACCAGTTTAAAGTCAAAGGCTTGGCAAAAAGAGAGTAGAATGGGGGGAAACCAAACCTTGTGTTCTTAGTTTAGAACTTTTTGTTTATTTCGTGCCAAAAGCATTGCATTAAAACAATGCTTTTGGGTTGGAAAGATTAGCCGTTTACAAGAAACGTTGCTCAGGGGACACCGGACTCTTTACTCAGTCTTCGAGGAGGCACTTTCCATGTCCCCCAGTTTAGAAATAAGGAAGGCTTTGGTCCCTGTCTCACTTATTTCATCACTGAATGCTCCATAGTAAGCCAGGAGGCTTCTTGGTTCCAGTTCATGGAAGGGGAGAGTTAGCCCTGGCCATTTGTTCATTCCAGAGTTCAACCAACTCTTCAACAGAATCACTTGCTAACGCAACAGACAACTGTCAGTGAAAGTGGAAAATGTGAATAAAAAACCTTACATTTTTGCCTGAGAGAACATCGCTATGAATATGTAGGCTTCCCATGACAGCTCTGTGATCAACTCTAGCTGTTACTATGCTATATAGCTGAACTGGAATGTCTAGAGATTCCTAAAGAGCACATATTAATCAGATCCGTGAATAATCAAATCCACAAATGTTATACCTGAAATTGTGGGTGGTCTGCTATATATGACACATACAATGTAAGATAGACTTTCATGAATCAGTATATCAAGATATTCAAAACATCACAATTAAAAAAAGAAGTCAAGTTTCAGGTGGTATGCAAAATAATTACTGGGTCCAAATGCACTTGGTGATTGCTTATTTTAAAAGCAAAGATCTTACATCTTAATCTGGTAAACAGTAAAAGCTTAATCAAAATAATGTTAATTGCAGAATATTTGATCAGTTACCTGGATCTCCCAATAAAATAACATGTAAGATGGGCCTTCGGAGGCTCTAAAGAAGCATCCAGAATAATGTTTGAATGCCAAGATGTTAAATCCATGGAAATAAAGTTTACTGTATCCACTTCACTGTATTCCGCATATTTCATGAGTCTCCAGCCTTGTGGAGAGATCTTTTGGAAGAATTAGTTTGAAAGAAAAATCAGGAAACCTTTCCCCTATGCAAACAGTATTATAGGCAATCCATGCAAACAGTATTATAGGCAAACGTCTATTCATAAAAAGACTCCCTGATTTGTTCTGGAAAGTAAGCAAATATAGTGAGGAAAACAAAAGATCTGAACATATAATCATGTTTAGCCAGAGTTTAGAAAGAATCAGAAAAAAGTGTGTTACTACAAGATTTGTCTGTGTAGATATTTGTGAATGTGGTGTGCATTTACTTGGATGTAATGGTTACTATGTTCTTTGAAGCATTTGTCCAGGTAATTGGGTACAGGATTTCAACTTAAGGTTAATGTTTCTTTTCTGAGTTACTGAACATGCTAAATTTTCACACAGAAAGCAGAAAAGGAGAAGAAACTATATAGAATTTGGTCTTTATAGGAAAAAGTGATCCATTTAATTCACTTTCTGATTAAATGAAGGTGTGAGAATGCAACAAATGTGTTACGAACATTTATAAGTTAATCCATATGGGTTAACTAATATGCTTTTATTGTCAGATAAGATTAAATTGATGAAAGTAACAAGGTTTTATTTTGGGTAAATATGTTAGGAAAGAAATCTGTAGCACATACAAATTATGATAATGGTTTTGTTATGCATAAGTTAGAACAGCATTTCTCAACCT